CATATCGAAGTATTTTTTTGCTTCTGTTAGGGTCTGTTTGGTCTTTTCTATCAATTCAATCAGATTGTTTACAGAGGCAACGTGAAGAAATTGAGGGTCGTCGGCGTACTGAACAAGAAGACAGTTTTTTGCAATTGATGACAAATCATTTATGAATATAATGAATAAGATTGGGCCAAGGATGGAGCCTTGTGAAGCACCGAACGAAACTGATTGCTTTGATGATACTTTTTCATGGATTTTGACTGATTGAGTTCTCGCGGACAGGTAACTTTTGAACCAAAAATTATCAATTTCGTGATTTGTTTGTTTGTTTACAAGTAATTCATGGCTGACACTGTTAAAGGCCTTCGATAAATCACATAGCGTGAGCAATTTGATCTGGTTGTTGGCTATAGTATTATAAATTTCATTTGTGACTTTTAGTAATGCCGTTTCGGTTGATAATTTATTCCTAAAACCGTGCTGCGTGTTAGATATAAGGTTATTCGCTTCTAAAAATGTTGTTAATTGGTTTGCAACTATTTTCTCGAGAACTTTAGATATTACTGGTAGTATAGTGATGGGTCGATAGTTATTAATTTAATCTCTGTCACCGGATTTGAAAGTCGGAGTTATGATGCCGTGTTTCCAAAATGATGGATAAACACCGGTGACTATGGATGTATTAATGATTACTGTCAGATAGTAAGCAATTGCTGGTAAACTATCGTTTATGAAACGATGTGCAATTCCATCTGCTCCCAAAGACAAAAAGAGATGTGTATGCATGTATGTGCATACATACATTCAAACACATTCTTACACATAATATGTACGTCCATGTGTGTGCGTGAAGTAAGACATATAGGAAAAAATAAAGCACAATGGCAAGCGGAAATACTCAGGCTGGCATTCCGATCGCAATTGTCATGCGTCACCAAGGGGCGTCAACGCCACGAGAAGAAGGAAAAGAAGGTAAAGAAAATGAGAAGAGGGAGAGTGAGATGAAGAAGGTGAATAGGGAGGAGAAGAACAAGAGCGTGAACAAGAAGATGTGGAGGAGGAGGAGGAGGTTATGAAGCAACTGCAGGGACTGCATTCTGGGAAACACATAGGAAGCACAGGGTGTGACTGAGTTTGCTTGCAGCTGGAAACCTATTATTAAGGCGCCGCTGCCAAATAGCTCCAGACCAGAAACATCCGAGAAACGAATTGCCTCCGAGAGAGAACATTCCGGGACGGCGGGCGGGCACTGGTCGAAACTGCGTCTCGAGCCCTACCGACAGCCGCCCTTCAAAGACCTTCAGAGGGCCAGCGGGAAGCCACTCGCATGGCGGTGTGCGGCAACTTCAGCGGCCAAAAGACGAGGGGCTTTATAAGTCGCGCCACCAATTGGCTATGGAGGAGTAAGTAACGACATCATGAGGAAGAGCCTGACGCTTTGGTTGTTGCTGGCCGTCGGCCTCGTGCTCTCGGCCGCCGTCTCGGACGCTGCGTCGTACCGGGAGCGGCGGAGCCCGGTATGTCACATCTGTGAGCCCATCTGCAAGGAGCCGTGCTATTACCGGAGCCACAATGGCTGCAAGGTGAACGTCTGGCGCTGTCCTTCGTTGGCCCTGAGGCCGCCCCTCTTCGCCGCCAGGACACCCCAATAGCGGCGGCAGCGAACGAGGCGGAAGGGCGGAGGCCTCGCCAGCCACGTCCACGGTGAGTCGCGGCTCATCGTCGCGCTTAACTTTGTTATACGTACACTGAGTTGATTTAATGAGGTTTGAAATAAAACTCTTTTAATGTACGATGGTCCATTCCCTGACAAACGTAGGTCCAAGAATACTTGCAATGCATGGATCGTCTTCTGCAACCATCTGCAACAACAGAAGAGGAGTCAAGGAGATCACTCGTCCCAGCTGTGCGGTCCATGGATAATGCTTACCATTAATTCAGAACTTAGAAACAGCTCAAAATCTTCAATAAAATTGATCTAATTGACGAAAGTTGTGTGATAAATTGATTCCTAACATGTGTTAAAGGGATTTTTTTCTATGATTTGCCTTTATATATATACTCACACATCTTACACATGTATGTGGATATGTAAGTGTATACGCGTGTGTATCTGTATGCGATGTAATGTGTGTGTTTGTGTGTATGGTGTTTGTGTGTACGTGTGTGTATGGTGTTTGTGTGTACGTGTGTGCATGATGTTTGTGTGTACGTGTGTGTATGGTGTTTGTGTGTACGTGTGTGTATGTGTATGTGTATGCGCGTTTGTCAAGGATATAGACAGGCAATACTGTCATGAATTTTGTCATTGTCAAACATTATTTTCTTACAACTTAAATAGCCAATTACACATTTCGAGCTCTGACTTGAAATATTTTCAGCTGTGTGTCGAAAGATAGCTTTTACTTTTTTTAATGATATTTTCCATCATCATATTCCCTAAGCATGTTTCATGACTCCCCGATGTCAATGTACGAATTTCAACGTTACGGAGAAAACGCAGGACCCATTTTGATAACTGGTATCACAGGAATCCCTACTAATTACAGATGGAGAAAAAAAACTGCCATATTTTGTCGTTATTGTTTTTTTCACATTTCTTTCCTTCTCTTAATCGAATATATTGTTTGTTTTTTTTCGTCAGTAGACATTCCACGAGCATTTCAAGATGAAGATAAAGGTCAAATTCCCCTGGCAGCATGTAATTTGGTTTTCGGCTGATGACGTGACAGGATAGCCGTGTAAACGTTCTAAAGTGTTTCTAATCAGGGTTGGACGGAGGAAATTGGTATATTGTTGTACCTACATCCGTCTGTTTTACACGAACAGTCACACATATGCACACACACACACACATACACACACACACACACACACACTCACATATATGATATATATTTATATTCATATTCACACACACACACACACACACACACACACACACACACACACACACACACACACACACACACATACACACACACACACACACACATATATATATATAATATATATTTATATTCATATTCACACACACACACACACACACACACACACACACACACACACACACACACACACACACACACACACACACACACACACACACACACACACACACATACACACACGCACATATATATGTATGTGTGTGTGTATGTATAAGCATATTGTGGAATGCAGCAATGACCATGAGGGGGCTTTAGTTATTTAGTTACCCCTCCCCTTAGAACACCTGATCCCGTTTTCTTTTACATTTAGCTTAATTTTGATCAAATGGCGTAGTTTTTAGTTTTATAATTCTTCTCTTTTGTTCGTGGATCCAATTTTTACTTCAATTAGTTTTGTATTAATAAAAAAAAAATCAAATCTAAGTTATAAGCACTTTTGAAAAATCACCTTTCCGAATAAATGATTTAATTATTCTTTTTAGCCAGTCCTCAAAACTTATTATATATATATATCTTTAATTATTATCAAGTGTTCCACCAATTTTCGTTTTATAAAATCAGCTTACAATTTATTCATAAAAAGTCTCAATTCGACATTTTGGAGCTTTTTCGGTATTAATCCTGATAGTTTTTTAGTCCTTTAAATAAATAAATGTATTTTATTTGATTTCATCTCGTTATTTATGAAAAAAAAGATTCTTTAAGTTGTGACGTCATGAGTGTCAACTGGAATTTTGTGTCAAAGATAGTCAAAGATCAAAAATGGTTTGTGTCACATGCCCTCTGCGGGAAACGACACCAAAAGTTGTACGAGCTCCTTTCAGTCACTTGGCTGAGCGTAAATATTAGCTGGATGTTTTCCATATGAATAGTTAGTGAAATAATTACATAGGAATGCGTAATTTCAGTTGACCTGATTTCAGTGCATTTGTGTATTTTGATAATGTTGTATAAAGTAACGTAACTTGTTCAAGACTCTAATTGGTTTTCAAATGATCCTTTATATATATATACATATACATATACATATATATACATATATACATTTTAAGGATTTCAAGATGGATACTAAGACCCAAGTCACGTGCTGCCTGCACCATGTGGACACTCGTCTTCCCCTGAAGCTCTTATCAACACTAGCGCCCCTCAAGGAGAAGCAAGATGACCTGAACCTTGAAAAGCAAGATGACCTGAGTGCTGACCCAAGGAGACCCGAAGGAGACCCCGAGAACAACCGCAACCAGCCCTTGACTCCCGGTCTGGTCACGCCACCGATTTTATTACTGTTGTGCTGTTCATCACTGTTTGTTTTATTCTAAATCCAATAAAGAGCCAAGCCGTGCCAAGATCTCCTTGCCCCACCAGTCTTGTAGGAGTATGTAGATATACAAACATATGCGTATGGGTGAGTGTGTTTTTTTTTTTTTATTTCGTACTGATTTTTCTTTCTGCCTCTCATTACGTACAGCTTTCTCTCTCTCTCTCTCTCTTGCTCTCTCTATCTTCTCTCACACTTCCTTCCCCAAACACTCCTGTCGTGAGGAAAAACAAAACGAAGGAAGAAATGAGACCGGTTTAACTTGTCCTCCAAGGTCGATCCAGTCGACTCCTGCACGACATGCCAGCAATCTACACTTGGTTTATTTTCTTCACTAGCGGGACCCGTGGAACTTCCACTGAAAAATGTGTTCCTCTCTCCCTCTCTCCCACTTTCACACTCCTCCCTTCCGTCTCTCCTCTACCTTTCCCTTTTATGGTATTCTATGTTATTGTATATATGGATGTGTAGATAGATGGGTAATTGTGTGTGAACGTTTGCATGTGTGCGTTTTTTTAATACTATATCATATACATACATTCATATACATACCCCCCCCCCCCCCCGCGCCCTACGCACCATGAGACATGTGGCGAGTAATGGCATCAAGCACATCATGGACGAGGCTCCGTCAGCGCCCTGGAAGACGCCAAGGAGACTCCATCATGAAGGGGCGTCTGGGAGCAACTCTCTTCGCCGCGCTCTGCCTCGCCGCCCTCGCCACACACTCCCTCTCGGAGGCTGCCCCTCGTCGCGAAGTCCCGCAGACGATCTCGTGCATCAACTGTGGATTCCGATGCCGCCCCTGCTACCACGAGACGAGATTCGGCTGCGAGGTTGACCACAGGAAGTGCCCCTGGCTCTCCGTGTCGCCGCTCTTTAGTCCAGAACACGAGGGAGTTCTCTCATAGATCTGTGAGCGTTTTGGCGTGGCGTCTCAGCTGCTCGGGCCCTGGGCATCATGCGTCGGGAAAGCGATTGGATGTCCGTGAATCCGGGATAAAACACGGATTCTGCTTAATGCAAGATTAGAGTTTCTCCGCAATGTCTGTGTGCACTTGATCCCTGAAACTTTCCCGACTGAAGTTTGTATGTTATTTCTTCAACAGAGAATCTCAAAAATATTAATAAACGAACATAACACCGATTAATAAGAGAATGGCATTGTCAAAGAGGTTCTAAAAACGACTAAAAGTGCAAATAAACTTATTCATATTGATGTATAACATTAGAATAAAACTATATCAAAAGCATTATACACATTTTTTAAAATTTGTACCTTATGAAATACAAGTAAACACAAAATAACAAAAGGCAGTCGAAGGATTGAGGAAAAAAGAGACCATCGAAATAGATCTAAAAGGTTAGAATTTTGAAGAGATGAAGGTCAGGATGAATGCCAAGGACACTTTAGGGTAGCGACGCCTGCCGAGGAAAATCCCCGAGGCGTTGCTGGGTCACGGGATCCCCCCCCCCCCCCCCCCTTAACAAGGCCCTTCTCATCCTGTGCAGTATGACCGTTATGTGTATACGTATATACAAAAGAAAGGAAAACTTTAAAATAGATAGTGTTTACTATTCATATTCATGAAGAGAAGGAACGAAATAATTTGAATATCGCGTGAATATTTTAACAATGGAGACTACATGGCAGCTCACTCTAAGGTTTTTATGATAGGTGGCGACTCTACCAGTTTTCAATATTTCCGTCAAGTTTTAAACTTTTCGTTTTGTAAACAGAGTGAGGGAAAGAGAAAGAAAAAGCGAAAAAGAGAAAGAGAAAGAGAGAGGAAAGGTGGGAGAAATAGAAAGGAGAAGTGGGAGGGAGGGAAAAAGAGAAAGAGGAAGAGGGAGAGAGGGAGAAACAGAAACAGAAAAAGAGAAATTGAGACAGGACACAGAGAAAGAGTGGAAAAAAACTAAGAATTATTAAATCATCATAGATGATAGTGCTAATAGTAATGAGTGTACTGGTAATGTAACTTATGTATGGATTACATATATTAATTCACAAAAAAGATAAAATATGAGGAGGTTAACGTCCATCTGTTAATGTTAACGAAAACATTTTAACTCACTCTATCAACACAGTTATCTTTCACAGTATTTTATTAGTCATGTCATTTGCATAACTGACACGCCTCTTTAAAGAAGAAAACGAACCTGTCGCAACCTTATGTCAAAGATTAAAGGAAGGAAAAAAAGCGTTATTTCTCTTCCATTTTAAAGCAGTGGCGGTGATGGCGATGTGGTGTCGGCCGGAGAAGGGACATCGTCGGGAGAAAAAGCCGGGTAGAGGAGCTGCGTCGTCGCTGCCTGCCGCCTGCCTCTCCTCCTCCCAGCGGCCTCGAGGGCGTTGCTCACCTGGCGCGAAAGACCAATCTCAGCCACCGCGGCGACAGGTGGACAGACCACGACCTGGAGCCCTGATGGCTGGCTTGTGGCTGATCCTCACGGTGGGCGGATCGCAGGCATGTTGCGTGCGGAAAATGCCACATCCGAGAGGCCCAGGGCGCGAGCTTTCCACAGGGTTTCCGCGCGAATAATAATTATTAATTATAGTTATATAATAATCCAAACGTATAGAGATCCACGGCCGCCCCCCCCGACCCCCTCTATCTACGCCACTGGCGGCATTCATCACAAATTTTCTGGCAGGTGAAATTTCTCTTCCTCTTTCACTCGGGCAGAAAATTTGCAGCCCCCCCTAAATTTTAAATGT